AACAAAAAAGGAAATTTTTAAATGATGACATATTCGCATTTTAGAAAATATTAACTAAAATTTTAATTTTTCTGTTTATCAATTTGGTCAATTTGGAAATGATAATGATTTATATGCCAAAATATAAAGGTGTATTTATTTTATATTCTGTATATAATCAAAGATATATGATATTATTGAATTTATGGACGAACTAAGGATGACAGAAGGAAATAGTTGAATAGAAGTCTTCTTCAAACAACGACATTACCAAATCAGGTTAAGCTTTTGTTAGCAATAGGTTCTAAAAAAAAATTTTTTCGGATTTAAATTAGATTATATTTAATTTGTTTACTGTATTATTTTAATAAATCAAATTTATTTTGTGGGAATAAATTCAAATCAAAAAATAAATCATATAGGCGCATTGTTAAATGAGACTGATAGTTTATTTTATTTATATTGTGAAATATTGACGAAGAATTATCTATTGCGTTGAAATGAATTTTTATTTTTACTAAATAGTTCAAATTTGTCTGAGAATTTCAAGCACATAAATATTTTACATTTAATTTACTCGTTTGTCACGTGAACTTATTTCCGAATACAGCATACATGATAGTAAAGCTAACAACGAGACCACGCGAAAGTTGCTTATAACCAATCAATTGAGCTTTATAATATGTGACTCTGTTGAATACCGTACAAACCGCGATTTGCAAAAACTTTTTACGTCAAAATCAATTTGATTTTGCTTTCCTTTATAATTAATTTATGTTTTCATTAGAGAGCAACTTCCAATGTGAAAACCATCCCACTACTTATAGGTGTTAGTCACAAATCGTACTGCGCCTCAGATGATCTCACACTGCGCAGAAAATCGACTTTATAATACATATTCATTATATTTATTATATAGTCTTCTTTTATTACTTATATTATATTATCTAGTTTTCATTATATGTATCGCTCATAATTAGCAAAAAGCGTATTATAATACTAGTTAACAATTTTATATAAATGGACCTGTAAATGGACCTTGAGTCGACAGAGTTTGATCAGAGAGTTCGATCAGATAGTTTTCTGAATAAGTCTTGGGACTAGACTTATAACTCTACAGATTAATTAAGTTACTATTTTATAATTTCAACCTTCTCCTTGTCTTCATCATAGGATTGATCGTGATAACTAAGTACACAAGTGAATCGTGATAATAAATTGTTTTGTTTGATAATTGTTGATTTCTCTTAGGAAAGGACTTTGAGAAAATTGAGTTATTAAGATATTTAGTTTTGTTAGCTTTGTTTGAGACGATTCCAGGTCTAACACCGGCTTCCCCTTGACTTGATCCTCTTTTGAAATCCACTTGATCTTTCGTAATACCGTAATCAAATTGAGATATTCAAAAATAATATCTTACATATTCTTCGTTTGAGTTTTCATCTACACCATCAAATTGAAGAAATTTCTTATATATGTTTAACGGCTTCATCAAATTGATGAGATTGAACACCTTCAAAAAATAATGTCCAATTTCTGACTGAATCTGAAGTCGCGTAGTGGTACTCTTTCCAAATCAAAGTAATATATGGTTGTGGCATTGGACATCAATTAGTCATATAAAAGCTTATGTCTAACGTTGACTCCATGTTTCAATTCAAGTTTTGTCTGCACTTCTGTTATCTAGGATATTGTGCGATTTACAGATTAATGTACAAAATTAGTTGAATTCACATTATAAATGTTTGTTGGTGGTATTTATTATTAACAAGGAAATTAGATCTTTTAGTTAGAATCAGGTAAATTCTCTTTCTCGCGTTCCTTTATCAACATGGCTTTATGTGCACAAGCTCTTTATTAGTGATAGAAAGGTACATACATGTTTGTTTTCTCCTATGTAACCAAAACCTTGACCAACTACAAAGCTTAAGCCGGCTGAACCGAAGACTTTAAGAGGATACTGAGCCAGTAAATTTTCTAAGTCATAACGAGCTTGATTAGTTGTCTACATTCTGCAATGTAAATTATAAGCGCACTTCCTTTTAAAGTATTAAAGTCACTTTTGTCCAACTTCGTTTTCGCTCCCATTAATAAATCATCTATGCAGTATTTTCTAGTATTCCAAAAACGACGACGAGCAACGTTAAAATCGGCGGTGACGGATATGATACTATAGTTTTTCCCGCTTTATCAAGTATGAGTCAAGTTGAAAGGAAGAAATAGGTTTTTCTGAGAGACTAGGATTTACTGTAGGATATTCTCATGATATCTCGAATACAAAAATTACTTTTTATGCTCAAAATAGAGATCATTACATCATACATAGATGATGTGCTAAATGTCCAATCTATTTTTGTTTATTTTATTCGCAAAAAAAGATTAATATTAAATTTCTAACATTTAAAGTAATATTGCATAACAGACAAAATACCATGATGAAAAATCAATAGATACTTCAGTTTTAGACACTTTTTCAATTATTATAAAAAAAATTAAGAATAGCTAAATTTTGTTGAATTTAATAATTTAAATAAAGCCATTGCGTATTTTCGAATATATTTATTCAAAGATACAGTATATCTGATAATATTTGATAAAGATTCAAAGCTTGCCGGTTATAATTAGAAATATAGTGCTTTTTAGCATATGTTATTTGCTGGAGATGAAAACTTCCTAAAACCGAATTGTATGCAATCTTCTCTTCTCTCCTACAAAAAATTACACTCTAATAATAAATTTTTTCCCTCCCTCTTTTACTCAAGGTTATGGATTTGTAATGAAATTTTGTTTGAAATGATATCAAATAAACCTATTAAAGAAATTCTTGTAGTAAACGATGAGCTTTAGCTTTCCTTCAATTAAAATTGACGTGATGTATTTCAAATCATTTCAATACGAATCGAACGTTTAGAGATCGTGGCTATAAAAAAGCTTCTTAACTTTTCACTTTAAAATAAAAAAAAGGTTTTGATTAAATTTTAAATTATTTAAATTAGAGAAGTTGGCATTTCAATTGTTTATTTTTCTTTCATTTCAAACTCATTCGATTCTTATGTGCTACGTTATCGGGTTCGAGTCATTCTATCTCATAAGCAACATATACTTTTATTTGTACTTAAACTTTATACTAGCGAAAGGCTATATTTTTAACATTTAACCAATCAACAATCCATTAAAATGATCGTTCCAAGTATTTTCTAGCCATCAAATTGACTAAGCAACAAGAACCTGTTATATGATCGTTTTTCCCTTTTCTTCAAGCATGAGATAAAAGCAAGAAGTTGAAAAGAAGGTTATAAGCTGAATAAACTTTTGCTGAGAGTCAATGATTTACTAGAATCATATCCAGGTCGTTGTTCATGATTAGTAAGTCAAATTCGAAAATATAGTAGTCTTGTTAAATGAAATATATGTCCAGAATAGATAGGGCAGAATAAGCCGACAAAAAAAAAATATTGGTCTTCTTACTAAAAGGAGAGTTTCAATTTTTTTTAAAAAAAAGATGTTTCAGAATATACCTTAAAAGCGATAAAATGATCAATTAAATGTTTATTATATGCAATACATGAAAGTAAATTTAAATTTATAAATGTTTATGAATATTGTAAAATGAGGAAAGATAATGATTCGTTTTGTTTGTTATTTTAAAAAGTTCAACATTCTACTAAATACAAGCTTCGGGATGCGGTTCAAAAAGATCAAATGGGACCTTTGCAATAGAAACAAACGCCTGGAAAAAATAAGAAATAAGTTAATGCTAAATCTGAACATAATTTTGACTAAAAATCATATTTGACCTAATAAAAGTAAAATTATTTATTTCTTGCAGCTTATCCTTTCAATTGCAAAGGTCCCAAATAATCACTTTAATAATTTCAGTCGTTCAGTTTCAGTTTTGCAAATAATTCAGATTTAAATTCCAACTCTTAATAACTTTAATGATCTCATAATGTTTGGCAATTTAAATGGAAAGTGATTTGAATATTCTTCTATTAAATCTAAATAAAATTTTAGTGTCCTCAGATGATTTCATGACGTAAATCTTACCTATTAAATTCTCATCATAAGGAAGTAGATTAAAAGCTGGTTTTCCTGAAGTTAAATCACATTATCATCGCGAAAGAATAAGCTGCCGATAATTCGTCATTGTTGCTGTTAAATAATATTTCAGAGCTGTATAATATATTAAACCATAAAGTTTTTGACGTGACGATGAATTTGAAATTTGTTTTCCGCTGTACATATTCCAAAATCCGAAATCAATGTCTTTTTTTTTTTGCGAACTTACTCTTTTTTTTTAAAAAGATTTAATAAATTGTTCCGATCATTAATACCAAAATGACATCCATGATCAAGTATATCCTTCGACCCTTAAGCCACATCTAATAAATTATTTCGAAGATATTGACGTAAATTTCCTACCTCCGTTTGCGTATTGCATAAAGAAATTCGCAAAGTTTTGTACTTTTCTTGAATATAAGCTGGAAGTAGAGAAAGGAAGGGTTAATAATTTCAATTTGCTTCAAAGAGGGTAAACATTCATAATGTACCTGATGAAAAATTTCAATTACAAAATTCTCTGAATCCTTTTATTGTTTGAGCTACATATTAAATCAGTAAAATTATATGAATAAATAAATACATACAGTATATATATAGAATTAAAATAATACCTCAAGTCTAGCAAGCACACGATCCACTGTTGTCTTGGTAACTATACAAGAAAACAACGAAATTTAATTTAGTTCGTCAATACTTTTAACATAATCACGTCTATGTGAAAATACAGCACAGCAAAAAGAAATAGCAAATTTAATTTATTAAAACTTGGTTTTATCTCAAGACATATCTCAAGTTATCTTTTAACTCAAGGATATTTATATATACAATATAAGTATATACAAAGTAAATACAGTAATGAAACTATCTAGACGGACCATTATACGCTAATCACATGATTTATCACAATGACTGTTAATAATAAATTATTTTCAAATTCTTTAAAATTTAAGTAATATCCCTCACATGATATTGTTGACTGTGTCATTATATTCAACTCTCCTATTACCAAAATTTTCATATTTGACATTCTCTGCACCAATGGCAACACTCTTATACGGTAAAATTTCCATTAGTTTGCTTTCATTTGAGTTGCATATTGGTTTTGGGCTTTTAAAGCCTATTCATAGACGGAATTATCCTAATTATCATTTGAATAATAACCGGATGATGTCAGTGTAGTCTCTAGATTAGAACATCCAATATCTGTTCTCGACAGATTTTTGTATGTGAGCATAGCATTTGAATGATCCTCTGATTTTATATCTATCTACTAGAAATTTCAAGAGCACGAGTTGCTCTTAATGAGCAAGCTTTGGTTGTAGGTTCCCATACTGCAAATTATTGACAACCAAATACCCATAATGGAAATTTCCTCACAAGAGTTTGATCCTCTCGAGATCATCATCATATTTTTCATGAAGAGGCTCATCAACTTCTAACTTCAAAACAAGTGTGATCTTCACATCTACTACTAGCAATAACTTCTCACATTTGTGGATGAAGTCCGACTCCCCCTTAATTTGATCCTCCTTTGAAATCCGTTTAAATCTTTTTCTTGATCTCGTAGCATTATATTTGAATTTAGATTATCAAAAAGATTCACAGACAAAGCCAACCTTACATCTTCCTCGTTAGATATATCATTTACGTCATCATGTGAAACATTGGTTCGTTATATTGATTGCACATACTCCATATCCAGTCAGAAATTGGACATCGTTTATTGAAGAACTTCCGGATGTTACAATTCCAAATAATTGTGGTTGTGATTCAAATTCCGTGGTTTATCTTGTGCTTGCCTAACAAATTCTGAAAATGTGTATCGATCAATTTGATGAAACCTCCAGTTTTTTGTAAGTAGTCGTATTCTTCTCCAGATATAAAGATCTTTGGTGGTCTCATTTAACGAACTAGTGTTCATCGTATGTCGATAAAACGCCATATTGCATCTGATCTAATGGGTATATGGGTGAAGATATTTCTCATTTGTAGTCATTATTAAAATTAAAAAATAAAAAATTAACGTTGGTTAAATTCGAATAAAAAAAATTGATTCTCGTTGTTGATAAATTCGAAAGTATAAATATGAATAAATAAAATTGTTTGTAAATTGAAAAATAAAACTAATTCTCGTTGGTTAATTCGAAAACAAAATAAGTCTAATCTCGTTATATAAAATATATATAGGAGAAGAATAAGCGCATCAAAAAACAATGGTCGTCTTATTCTTTCCCTACGAGAGAAAGCTTAACTCGTATGGTTCTTAAATTATAAAAAATTTTAATTATCTATGACAAAAAATGACCTTTCAGTCATTCGAAAATAATGAACAACGATGATATCGCGGTGATTGTTCAAGAACCCACGATACGAGTATTTTAAAAGCTATAAGTCGAAATGTATGTTAGAAGATAAATAAGTCTAAGATCTACTTGTCTCATATCCAGAATATTGGCTCTTAATTACAAAAAAAAAAAAATTATAATTTTATGTGTAACAATCGTTCACAATAAGGCGATATCACATGATTTTGTATTATTTAGTAATCTCCACCACACCACGTGACACTTGTTGCAATTCCGGGCCAAAATCTCCATAATTCCGCATGAGAATCGCTTCGATATTTGTAGTTAGTCCTTTACCAGGCTGTCAGAGCGCCAGGTTGTCAAGGTGCCAGTATGATAAAATGTTAAGAACGTCAATTTGTCAAGGTGCCAGTATTACAGGATGTTAAGAATGCCAGGCTTGGCCCAATTAATTTTTTATATATACAAGCTGGAAATCCTTCAATAACTTCATATCCTTAATATCCACGCTTGCCCTTGTTGTATTTCTTTGCATACATTCTCTTCGAAATCCTTCCTTTAACACCTTCGCGATATTTTCGCTTTCGCCGTTTTAACTTTTTAGATTTCGTAGTTGTAACTTCGTTTATTATATGGGAGGCGGTCAATAGAAAAGGGGGAAATCTACAAATTTTGAGTAATTTCAGTTATTAAGCTAGTTTTGTTCACATGACCATGATCAGCAGAGTGAGCCAATAAAAAAATTTTTGACTAAAAAGTGGATTTCCCCCTTTTCTACTGACCGCCCCCCATATTTTAATTTCCAATTTATATGTTATTTATTATTTTGTAATTTTTTTTGTAATTGCACAGATTTAATTAATTAGAATTTGGCATTTACTAAGTTTAATTATATTGATATAGCGAAAAGTGTAGAGGCGCCGATTTTAAGGCAACAATGATTAATTCAATTAATACCTTCTGCTTACATTACAAATTGTTTATAAATACATAAACGAAAGAAGGGAATACAATAATATCCGCAATTGGGATTGTCGTCATGTAATTTTAATAACTTTAGTTTATTAAATTGTAAATTTTTTATTTTATTTATTTCAAATTTAAAAAATTTAAAATACTTATTTATAAAACTTTGTCTTTATTAAAATGTAAAAAAATATGCAAAAACTTCTCGGGCCATTTAGGACAATCTGAAATGTTTAAAATGACCAAAGTGGCCATTTGAGATGGTCGAGTTCAAAATGACCATTTTGGATATTATCCGAAATGAGCATTTTGGACAAATCTTCGCATTAGGGTTGTTGTAGTCCAAATTCAGATTTGGAATATCCGAAATGAGCATTGCGGACATTAAAGCATTTGGACTAAAACAATTTTGATAGAAAAATAAATCAAAAGAATGGGTATAGCGACTCTTTAAAAAATTTTAAAAAAATGATATGCACGTGTGACTGAAAATCTTTCTAATCCGTCTTTATATATACATACATTTAAGGTTAAGATGGAAATCTATCGGACCTTTGTCTCCGAAAAAAAGAAATAATAAATTGAATAAAATTTTTCTTTCAAATTAAATTTATAACAAAAATGGAACTTACAAAAAATGAGAAATTTGACCCAGCCCCAAATTTAAAATCTAGCCCTGTGCCAATTTTGTTTATTTCATTTAATGAAAATGACGACAATTGCATTTATTGTGGACTTGAATTTTCTAGGTCGATAAAAGATTATTACAAATATTGTAAAAGTTGCTTAACTTTGTATATTAAGTATTTAACCGATAATAATATATACTTGGATGTTCGTATAGGTACAAATAACACTCAGTGTAGTGAACATGAACCAAGAAATTCAAATTTTTTGACGCATAGAATTCAAGAATGGTGTTTAAATTGCTCGGAAATTTTATACTTTGTACAAAAATTTTATAGTAATGAATATAAAAGAATTCGAAATAATCGAAATTACATCTACGTCTATAAGTGTCTTCTATGTAGAAAAAATTTATCTGATGGAGAAATGTGTCCTAATTGTTATTTGATTTCTAATGGACGGACAGAATCAACAGTCATTAAAAAATCAATTCCAATAATTTATTTGCCATTGTGGGATGTCAGAAGCTTTTGTATAAGTTTTGATAGAAAACTAAATTTTGTAATAGATTGTCAAAAGTGGTGTTCATATTGTTTTACAATTTATACCGGATGTAGATATTGCTCAACGACAAATTTAATATTTGTAATTACCGATTATTCTCAATGTAGGAAATGCAAGAGAGTAGTATCAATCAATATTGATACCACAAATTTTGCCAGTGGAAATTCAATTATAGATGAATTTGTCTATTATACAAAATTTAACATCAAGTTGCAAATTGCTGATCATCTAATTAAGTATAATGAAATTCAAAAATTATTTAAACTTGTATTTATGCTTTTTATATTAAATCATTGGAATGAATTCCATATTCTCAAATTACAAGTTTAAAAAAATAGCGGAAGGGGGATATGGCATAATTTATTGAGCAATTAGATTAAATCCTTATAGCAATAGCAGTGAAGTAGTTGCGATAAAAAGAATCTTACACTCTCAAACCATTAGCAAAAGTTTTTTAGATGAGGTAATGATTTAATACTACTTATATAAAAGAGATTTTACTTTATATTAAATTTTTCTATATAATAATTTTAGTTTAAAATCATTTTATTTTTTTTTGGCTTATTCTTATAGTTTTTTACTGTAATTATATATTTATATTTATAAATATCCTGTAAATTTCTTCAAATTAAAAGATAAGTTAAAATATATTTTGAGATAAACCATGATTTCGTAAAATAAATTTGCTATTTCCTTTTGCTGTGTCTTCAGATAGGCGTGTATGTGTTAAAAGTATTGACGAACTGAATTAAAGTACGTTGTTTTCTTTTATAATTACCAAGACAACAGTGGGATCGTGTGCTTGCTAAATTTGAGGTATTATTTTAATTCTATATATATACTGTATAGTATTTATTTATTTATTTATTTGTTGATTATGAGATAGAATGACTCGAAACTGATAACGCAGCATATAATTTGAAATGAAAGAATTAAAAATGGCAGCTTCTCTAATTAAAATAATTAAAAATTTAAATCAAACGACAATCAAAACTTTTTATTTTTTAAAGTGAAATGTTAAAAGGTTTTTTTTATAACCATAATCTCAAAATTTTCGATTCGTGTTGAAAATGCATCATGCTAATTACTTCGCTTCATGAACTAAGGAATATAAAACTTATTAAATACAATTTTATTCAATTTTAACTGAAAAAGCCAAAGATCATCGTTTACTACAAGAATTTCTTTGTAGGTTTATTTGATTTCATTTCAAACAAAATTTCTTTACAAATCAATAACCTTGAGGAAAAAAGCGGAGGGAAAAAATTTATTATTAGAGTGTAGGAGAGAAGAGAAGACCGTATGCAATTTGGTTTTAGAAAGGAATCCTCTTCAGCAAATAACATATGGGGCTTCGTCAATAGAAACACAGTATCTGGCGATTTTTACCAAAATGAGTTAAGTACAGTGCTATATAAAACAGACATTCTAGAACATATTTCAGTCTTTAAAATTATTATTTTGTATAGTATAATATTTTTCTATGCCTATTTTTCGCGATTTTACGTGATCGGTAAGCCAATTTAAAAATAGAATTTCAAAAATTCTCATAAATTGAGTTGACAATCTTTGAACTTCCTGCAAATTTACAATAATTAATATAAATAATAAAAAAATTTTTTTGTACATGAAATAGTTATCTAAATAAGTATCATAAGATTGTGAAATTAAGCATCGATTTGAATCTATTTGAACACAAACAATTAATATATAAACCTCCAAAATTTAATGATTTTACGGTATCTTTGTATTACTTAAACCAAAAATGACT